TAGATATTCAGTATTTTAGCTGGCTTGTCAAGTTAAAGACTTCTTTTATACAAAAGCAGGATCTCAAATTCCCATCAAGCGCTGAGAATTAGTGGGCTGATGAACCTCTTGTTTATTACCACTGACCCAAGAAGCCCTCCTGTACCTACCTAACCACAAGGTTTTAGGCTCCCTGTGAAGAGGCTGGCAAAGTAAAAGAGGGTACTTGGTATGGATTTTCACGAGAGCCAAGCAATATATCCTGACTTCAGCAAATAATGTGACAGTCTATCTTGACATTTTCTTACAGATTAAATCGAAATGTAGAATCACTGTACATAGTTGCTAAACAGATAATGTGTCATTTAGGACATATGGCACATGGAAAGAGATTTATATACCATAAAACATTACATAACCACAATATACTTCTTAATTACAAAGATCAGTCTACGCCTATCTGGAAAGCAGTCTCTGCTGGTATATCACATGGCTCTTTTACTGATCCTGTCCCATTCAATCTTTTTTTCTTCTAGATAATTTACATAAAGCTATAAAAGGAATACTCAGCCAGCTAATCTAAATGACACGAAGAAATAAAGACAAACTCTTAAAAAATGGATGATAACCACAAGATCGGAATTACCTTAGTTAATAAACAAAATTTAACAGTGTTATCTATAAAGGCATCTATTTATATTGAAAATGGAAAAAAGACCTATAAGATAATAAGGAAGGAGAACTTGAATTCTGGTTATAGCCCAAACAAAAATGATCAATATGAGTATAACATAGATACTAAGATGCTAACATAGCCTTACAGTACATTAATAAAACAACTTTACTGGTTCAAAAATTAGCTCTCATCCATTAGGAGAAAAATGGATGTATTAGGAGGAGATACAGGATTTAACAATCCCATTTGAGGTAAATGGCAAAATGAGAACCCCATCCATGTCTGATTCTAAATTTCTGTCTGTCTCTTGACTTCATGTGGAGAGAGGATGTCCTATTTGATACCACAGAGCAAAATTGGAATCAAAGAATAGAGTGCCACCGGGGTGAATTTCAGCATAGTTTAAGAGAAGCCTTTCATATGCAGGATCAGGCTAGGAAGAGGCAGGAAGCAACACACTTCTCTGCCGAATGGCCTGCCATATCTGAGGTACCACGGAGAGATCCATGACTTAGGTGACAAGTTAAAATACATCATCTCTGAAGTCCTTCACGGCTCTGGATTGCCATTATCAGAAATCAGTAAAGCAATTTAAATTTTTTTTTAGATTTGGAAATAAACCTTTCCAAAGAATTGGACACTGTACAAGTTAAAAAGACAGGTTCATCTTTTCCTGGAGGTAGGACTTTGCCATTGTTTCATGATGTAGGCAAGCTTCCTAGCAAGCTAGTAGAATTTGGAAACTAAGGCTTTTTGAGATTTGCATAATTTCCTAACACCTCTTACATGTAACTGCAAATGGGGAGAGATGATAAGCCCTTCACCTTCAGTGTGCCAGCCTGAAGAAATCCAAGTGTGGAACTATTTAACTCTGCCACGAATAAAGCTGCCATGGGATATAAGAACAAGAAGAAACACTGCAACACAATACATTACAAAACCATACTCCATGTCTATATTTTTATCTGCTCGATCCACACACCTGTTTGGGGGAATCCCAACACTGGCAGAGCTTTCTGTTTCCTGGAATACAACCTGGGCTCAGCTAATTGGAGGCACCTGCCCCAAGCTCTGAGTGTGGCCAACTCCCCGAGGATGGGGAGATAGCATTCACAGCAGCAGTGCCAGCCTCAGGAATTCACATGCTCACGGCAGCTATGCCATCCATGAAACAGTCCCTGTGGCGCCATCTTGTTTGGGCTCTCAGCAGCTAAGCTTCCCTTCTGTTGTTTTTTTTTTTTTTTTTTTTTAAATTGAGTCAATGTACTTCCAATAAAAGCTTTTTCTGATTAAGTTATTCACAAATTTTTGTTGTTTACCAGTAAAAACTTACGCTTCTGAAGGTGCTAAATCACAGAATGAGTTTGGTTGACTCTACCATAAACCCAAGATGTTTATTATTCTAAAAGGCTAGCATTCCAAGTGGTAAATAAAACTGCAAACTTCTAACAAAAGTAAAAGCAGGTACATTTATTAAACCACAAGAGATAATAATTATGCTATTTTTATAAACCAACTTTGTGATAAATTTTAATCAGACAGACTAGTTCATTCAGCAGGTATTTATTGGAAGCCTTCTTTACTCCAGAATGACAGAAGTTATTTCTGATTAATGCCCCATACACGTACACACACACACACACACACACACACACACACTTTTGTGGTGCTGGGGATTGAACCCAGGGTCTCCTGCACACAAAGCAAGCCCTATTTTACGGAGCCTCATCCCCAGCAGCCCTAACCATTTTGTTTTTTGATATATGCACAAAAGCAAAGCAGGCGTGGAATACTTGAAATGCTACAGATGGAGAGTAAAAGGAGATTATGGCTGAAACCTTAAAAAAAAAATCATGTTATTTATTTGATGTTGCACAAATTATTTCTTATAGACTTTATACAGTCATCTAATTATACAGCACACTAGGTGAATGCAGGTGATAGCTGGTCCCTTCTTCGACATTTCTTTAAGCTCTTTACCTCTGTGAAGAAGGATGCTTAAGATACATTGAATGGTCATGGTGTGAACCAGACATACAACCACTATTTAATAAAAGCTTCATTATCTAGAAAACCTTAGAAATGAATGATCCTAGTCTGGGATGTAGCTCAGAGGCACAGCGCCTGCCTGGAGTGCAAGATCCTGAGTTCAATTCCCAGTACCACAAAAAGAAAGAGGGAGAGGGAGAGGAAAAGGGAGAGGGAGAAGGAGAGGGAGATGGAGAGGAAGAGGGAGAGGAAGAAGAAAAAAAGAAATGACTGCTATTAGAAATCCAAGTTAGCTCAGGTATCACAGTAGGCAGTGAAGGTTATTTCACTGATTATTTTAACAACTCTGGGGCAGTTTTCTACAATGTTTTATATATTTTCCTTGTGACAGAAAAGAAAAATAGCTGGAAACCAAATGGTTGCATTGCTTGAACTACGTCATTTCAATCCTTGAAATGTTTCTGTCTCAATTCTCAAAGTAAAAAGTAAGTGGGCCTCAGTGTAGAGCTATTTTTAGTACCTGACTTCTTTTCTGAGCAATCTATTCGTTTCTTGATGTAAACGATTACCAGATCTAGCTTTGAACTATTGTTTCAGATCAGACACAAGTACACTGCAGGGCAAGTCAACGAGATTTGAAGGTTTTTTAGGACCTCACACGTTAGTATTGAGCTTTGGGGAACAGCTTGTGTGCTCACTATTTACCAAATATCCTCCAGGAAACATGAAAACTACAAGCTGTGAAGCCTCTGTTCACTTCTAAATGATGATGGCTGAGTTACACAGGTCTTATCCAGGAAAACATGCATTAATACACGGAGATATACCCGTGCATACACAAGAGTGAAGTCAGTAAGCCCAATTTTCATGTGTAAATTGAAGCCCAAACCTATAAAAAAATATAACGAAGTACCTGAGCCTGCTCTGAACTATACAGGGCCTGGATAGAGGTGGGACAAAAGCCCTAGTCGTACCTTCTTACCATGTAAATCTAATTTTGGTTGTTTGAAAGATAAAATAACCACCAGTCCAACTGTGACAATGGGACAAGATTGAGAAGCTACAGTAAGGGACAGACAGCCCAAATATTGTATAGATGGAGCAACCAGTTATGCAAAAAAAACCAGATCTGGTCTCTTCTGGCTCTTTATCCTGAAATCACTCATGGAAAGGACCCCAAACTTAAAAGGATAAACTTGGCTTTTGTACTATGTCTTTTAAAAAGATTTCCCCCTAACTCCAGTAAACACAGCTAGGTTGGCTGAAAGATGTTTGAAAGATGAGTTTGTTTTTTTTTAATAAAGGAAAAATAAGCATTCTGTGGTCCAGCAGGGCAGTTATGGCTCTGTTCTTCCAATCAGGCAACTCCAGAAGTACTGGCCCTCAAAGAGGAGACAGTGGTGGTAGGACACAGCTTTTTAGAGAGTTAGTCTAGTTATGCTCAATTCAGTACATACGTATCAAGCATCTGACACTGTGTTAGGCCCTAGGATTCTAAGATCGCAAAGATAAACCACTATCTTCCACAAACTGAAGATAAGTATAAACCAGACCTCATTTTCTGGGAAGAAGCTTCTGGGGAAACTTCTCTTCAAATGACTCATAACAGATGAGGCCACGCTAAGCAAAGGTTGGAGCCAGGCCTGGCAGTGTGACGTACACAAGGCTGCTCTAGATGACAACATCAATTCCTAATACCTGCCACATGCCAGGCAGCCATGTGCCAGGCACTATACAAGGCACTGATGCATACGATCTCACAAGAGTAGCAGATGACAGACACTGTGATCCCTTGTTTGAAAAGAGAAAATGGAGGCTGTACTATCTGGGTCTGGAGTAGGGCTCCAAACTGTGTGCATTTCCTGCTACAACTTTAGTCTCCTGTACGTGAAATGTCTGGGACCAGAAGTGTTTCAGATTTTGGAATACTTGCATATATCCATAATGAATTATCTTGGGGGACGAGACCCACGTCAAACCCCAAAATTCATTTATGCTCCACATACACATTATGCACACAGTCAAAAAGTGATTTGATGTAATATGATAGCACACCTATATTTTGACTGTGACATACACACAAAGTCAAGTGTAGAACTTGTACTTGTAGTACCATGCAGGTGCTCAGAAATTCTTTTTCAGATTTTGGAGGATTCCAGGTTTTCCAATTAGGAACTGTCTGTTCTTAGACATTTTAGTCCACTTAGATGAGGTTCACCCACTCATCAATACCTAATGGCCATCAGATTCTGGTGAGCCAAGACCTGCCCTGTACTGTACTCCGGAGAAACACAGCAGAGATCAAGTGACACAGTTCTAGCCCATAGAAGATTGCAGTTTGGTGGTGAAGCAAGACCAGGAACCCGTGACAAGAAGGAAGTTGAGAGCACATGGGAAGCCCACTGTGCGTGCTGTTTGGTTTCCAGAGAAGCTGAGTGTGAATCAGGGACCTGAGCTGGGGCCTAAAGGATGAACTGAATTATGCTGAATTTATCTTGCTCAGGGTAAGGTGTAGCAGGGGAAGGGCTCCGAATAGAGGATAGTGTGACAGCCAGAAGGAAGATGAGGAAAAATGTACTCTGCAAAAGTTATGGGAAGGGATCCTTGCGCACAGAACAGGGCAAAGAGGTGAGTGTGCAGAGCACGTCTGCGGAGGTGAGTGGGACCCAGGGTGAGTGAGACTTCACAGGCTGGTGGCTTTATCCTAAGTACAGTGGGAAGGCACTGAGGGCTTTCATGGGTAGGAGGGCAGGGGAACAATGGAAAACACACACCCAAATTTGCATTTGACATAACTGATCTAAGGATGAAGTGTTGGGTACAGAAATGACCACGATTCCTTAAGCCCCCATGGACAAAAGAATCCTGGACAATGCTAGTACAAATGATACTGTCAAGAAAAAGAAAAACATTCTCCTCACGATCTTCTCACCTGGAGACCATCAGAACAGCTATTTTCTTGCATTTCTTTAGATTATCTTTATGGATAAGAAAAAAATGGAATTATTCTGGAGAATTTTTAATTTTTATCCTGCTTTTCAGGTGTATTAATCAGTTTCTCCAAAACATGACTTTAATGAGTGCATAATATTCCAGCATCATGACCTAATTTGTTTCACCAACCCCAAGTCGTTGGCCCCTGCTATGTTGTGCAACTACATGGAGGGATATTTGCCAGCCCCTCATATTGTTGCTAGTGATGGATGACTGAAATACGATTACTGAGACAATGGAGTAAAACTGTTTTAACCTTCCTCCATGTTGCCACTGCCCCTCTAATAAAGGCAGTGCTCACTGGGTCGGTCACCCTTTTGTGCTCATGTCACTGTTGGTGTTTTATTTCACTTCCAGATGCATCCCTGCGTGGCAACTGCTAGAAGTCTACAGTGACCAGCTAGCTGTGTCAGGTATAAATACAAATGTTCATCTGTACCGTGCCACCTGAATATATTGAGAAACAAACAAACAAACAAACAAACACCTCTGCCACTTCCAAAAGGAAAAATTAGTATTTATTATTCAATTAACTTGCGTTTTTAGTATTCATTGATATTTATCCTTTGGTGGGTTAATTTAAAGCTAAATTTACAGTAGAAGTAGAGTTCCCACATTGGGATAGTTTTAATACTGCTAAGATGCATGCTTATCATTGCCTCACAGAGGACGTATTTTAATAAAAGAAATCAGTTTGTTCTGGGAGTGGTGATGCATGCCTGTGATTCTGACACTCTGAGAGGCTAAGGCAGTAGGATCGCAAGCTTGAGCCCTTCCTGTGAAATTTAGTGACTTAGCAAGACTCTGTCTCAAAAACAAAACAAAACAATCATAAAAATAAAATAACAAACAAACAAACCAGGGGTTGGAGTTGTATCTCAGTGAGAGAAAAGAAATCAATTTCTAACATCCCAAGACCTCCCTGAGCTTGGTCCTAAGTTTGTCCTTCCATTTGGTATGAGGTTCCAGGCTGAGCTTTAAAATGTCATGGCCAGAGATTTGGTTTGCAAACCCCAGTGCTATTAATAATCATCTTTCAACATCACCAGCAAACACGATTAGCAGGCTCAGCACCGGGCACTGCAGCAGACACGGTAAAAAGTGGGTTACAGCACAGGTTACTAGGACTTCAGTAATGCTAGCCTCGAACAATCAAAGCATAACACAGTCGATAACATATTGCTCAATGAAGCAATCAAAAGTATCTTATGTGCACAATGATAAGGGCATAGCACTCAGAGCAGGTAGCCTGAGCTGCCTCATGGATGGCTCAGGAACCATTTTGTGGGCACACACTTATGTAGTCTATTTTGTACATCCCTAATCTGGACCTCCAAGTATAAAAACATGATATCTGCAAGTTTGGGTATGGTTTCATGTCACCACTATGGCCTGTATCTGTAATTCTCTGCCTATGGATGATCTTGACCTTAGAGGAAGCCTATACCAGATGCTAATTTGCACAATTTCTGTAGTCAAAACTATGATTTGAGAATTTCACTCTCAGTGATTAGGAGCAAAGAAAATGTTGGTATATGATAGGAAAACGCTGATGTTCCCAGGACTATGGCCTAAGCAAGACAGTTGGACGGTGGCAGCAGAACCTACAGCAGAGACAGCTTCCTTCACACAGGTTCTAAGCTGGGAAAGCTGACCTTGGAACAATACTTAATCATTCACAATAAACACTTACCATACTTTGCTGTCGCAGGCACTGTGCTTGGTGCTGGGGTTATACTGTGAATGAGAAGCAGTCTGCCTTCCTCTTGTTCCCGAAAATGTATTTATGTACGCTTGTGTCCACTTTCTTAGTAGATACTAATTTAGCACCTGTCAGGTATCAGGTAACTACTAGGCATTACTAGGGTAACCATTACTACATAAGAAAAGGTTTTTCTTATGGGACTTTTTAATCTAGAGAGAGTTCACTCTCTCTACCACAGGGGAGAGCAGGAGACACCATCAGTGCCCTAGTTAGGAGTCTTCGGTTGCATATTGAGTCCACATTTATGATAAGTACTCCATTGCGGAAGCCATCAAAGGGCCCAAAAAACAGATAAGCTTGACTTTCTGAGTTCTTCTGCCTGTACCAATCCTCAGTGTTCCATTTATAAACTCTCTTGGGTAGTTAAAGCTCAGGCTGTGGGTAGTTCCTCAAGCAGGAGGCCATTTTCAGGACAAAATTTAGTTTGCTAAAAAGGAGCACCTTTCAATCCTGGGTCTGAAACTGCCTAGCGCTTTCCCAATTCACTTTCCTTTCTCGTTTAATTTTCTTTCTCTCATGAAAAGCAAAAACAAACCAACCACGCTCCTTTTCTTCCCTTTTCTAACACTGGCCAATTTCCTCTTCCAGAAGGCTGAGTGTTGCTCAAGAAAATCTTGCCCCCTAAGCTCCCTGGGCTCCACGTCTGCCTCAGCTATGGGACAGCAAAAGCTGGTCCCTGTCTTCTTCTCACCATCTCCCACTTCTGAAGGACAGCATCAGGAGAGACAGAACAGACAACACAGCCGCAAGTTACCTTGTATCTTCTCAATTCTCAGAGCCAAGATAGTGTTTCCCTCCACCCCTGGACCCGGCTTCTTCTGAAAGATCCCCAGCCATAGGCTAGGAAAAGTGCTTCAAATACCAGGTTAGCTGGACTAAGCCATGTGTAAAGTGCTCTTAAAAGGATTGCAACTACCAATGGTCTTGTCTTTACATGCATAATAAACAGCTACAATAATTAACAATAAAATAATGTATATTTACATTTGAACTAGGTAACACTAATGCTAGAATTGTATAATAAAGAAATTGTGCTCTAAAATTCTGCCTCTCCATCCTATTCTTTCTGATTTTGCTTAGAGAACTTGGCCATCTTTAACTCATCTCAGCACAGCCAAAACTTGGGAAGAAAGATTTTTTAACTGAAAAAAAAAAAAAAAAAAAAAATAGGGGAAGGCGCTATTTTAGATCTGCTGAATCAAACAAAAAAAATGTTTTATACCAACACAGCAACCTTAAGACAAAGATGTAACAAGGGAAATAATAAGGTCGGTCAGGATTTTTCATACTGAAACCCTGAATTTGGACTTTCCTGAGACCAAGCTTAAAAGCAGTATTATGATGTGGGTAATCTAGAGATCTTCTAGCATTATGATTCTAACACAAGCGTTTTAGATGCTTGTTGGTTAAAGATAGACCACAGAGAATCACAAGACAGGTTAAATGGAGCGCCACTCTTCTTGGAGCTCGTTTTAGTCAATACCAAGTCCATAGCTGCCTTTTATAGGAAATTCACAATTAGTTACTTCTTTGACTCACTGTGGTTTAACTCCCCCACACCCCTAGAATTAAACTCTTCTTCAGAAAAGAAATTGTCATTAAAGAAAAAATTGGTTCCATTTAAATATACACAAGAAAAACCATCACCCAATCAACGAATATCACTTCCAAGTGTACTCTGGCTCAGTCATGGACACAGACCTAACCGCTGAAAACTATCTTTCCAGCTCTTGACACCTTTGATCACTGAGTTATAAGATTCTCTGGGGAGGAGGCACATGAAATTACCAAATTACATAATTGTTCTTCCAAATTCACAAATGCTCTTTTGTGGTTTAAGATAAACTAGTGTTTGTTGATTTTTCCTGCACTCTTTTGTGACCAAGCTCCAAAAAATTAACCCTTTGTTGGCTGTCCAGCTTCCAGATTTTGGTTATTAAATTAAAAATTAATTTTTAACAGAGATGAATCCTGCACTTTTTTTTTTCTTTTCTGATGTTTGAGAGGTTTTCCCCTCCCAATTTCTTTCTGTCCTTTTTGTTTTTTTAGTTTGAGGTAAGTTGCTACATTCCCCAGCCTGAGTGCTCACTTTTCAGTTCTCCTTCTCAGCGTTCTAGAGTGCTGGGATTACAGGTGCAGGTTACCACTCCTAGCTGATGTTTAAGGGTTTTTGTGCACATGATCAGCATCATGTCTATGAAGACTCTGTATCACACACAGTCAGCTACAGTACTTCTGTTTACTGCTAATGTTCCACATTAGAGGTTTTAAATACAATTGCATGACTGACCACTAGAATTGGTGGGAATTTGGGAACCTGAAACATAAGGACCTCTGAGGTAGTTTTCTCCTATCACAGTGTTGGAACTAGAGTGGGGTCTTAGCTTCCTGATTCCAAATTATATTCTCATTCCACTGCAATACAGTCCTATGCTGTCCAAGACTGTTTAAAAACCTTGCATGACTTTGGTTGAAAATTGAGAGAACACTGAATTCTCAGAAGTGTTGTCCTTTATTCAAAGAGGTGTGAGTGGTTAAATTAGATGAGCTGGTGGTTATATGAAATGAAACTTCATGACCAGAACTCTACAAAGAAGGAGAGCACACATCCATATTTCTTGATTTCTTCCTCTTTATTTGCAGTGAGAACCCTCTTTCTCATGGGAACCTAAAGCTCTGAGTGTAGAGCTTCACTGGTGCCATGTTGACCTGTTACCATGGTGATCACTCTAGTAACATACAACCTGCCACCAGTCCAGACACACAAGTATCTCCTTTTGACTCCCAGAGGAGTTTTCTAGCCGTGCTCCCACCAGTTTACAGTTCACCTCTCCTGGGATTTTGCTCTAAAGTGTTTAGAGTTTGACTTCTAAATTCATTAAAAATATGACTACTCAGAGACAAAGTGGGAAGTGCTGAAAAGTGTCTTAAGATTTTAAAGTGACAGAAGTTCACAGAACACTTTTCCCTGGATTGGAACTATGAACTGACTAACCACAAAGACCCAAATGTAAATTATGGATGGACAGCGTCTTAGGAAGTGCTGCCTATCACTACTGATTAGTACATTATTTACAAAGTATCCAGCTCATTACCAAGAACTGTGAGATGGTGACAATTCTTACACAGCCTTGCTACATATTCAGAAACTGGAGCTCCTATCTGTGGCAGGTTGATGGCAATGCTCACAGTCTCTAAAAGAAGAGACAAAGAGACATGATGCTGGTCATGAGTTAGTTAAAGCATGTCAGAATCACTCTGGGTTTTATATAAGTTCACTATTCATCTAGGAGGTTGTAATACAGTCATTACTTTCTCTATTTGCGGAAGTGAAGAAGATTTTCTTTCTAAGGCATCAAAAAGGGCTCTATTTATGCATGGGACCTTGACACCTTTCTAGAAGGGTGAATTTAATTTCCCCTAAACCTTGACATTATTGAAGACAAGTAGAGGAGGAGGAGAAGGGAAAGCTATGGTCTAACAAAACAAGTGGATCATCAGATTGAGTGGTTACACAGGATCTTCTGCAGGGCATCCTGGAATCACAGAAAGAAGACTGGAACAGCTAGGGCTAAGGTCAGAATCCCCAAGGACTCAGGAAGGACCCGCACCACACAGAGACATAACGTTCCCTGATTTGCACAGGCAACTCCAGCATCCAATAGTGTGAGGTGAACAAAAGAGGCAAAACCTTACTCTGAATGCCCAGTGTGACATCTAAGCAACTGCCTCAGTCCTTGGGACACCTGGAGTCCCACGGGTGCAAGGGAAACCATGAGGCCCATGAGAAGACACTGTCACCTTTCTGTATCCAAGGTCTGGAGGTCTCTTGGGAGATATCAAGGTCCAGGAGAGTCTGCCCCTTGCCATTCCCTAGCTGCTCAAGCAACTGCATGTGAACAGCAGGCACCACAAAAAAGAAGATACACTTACTGATGGGCAACTTTTTTTTTTAAATCAAAAGGAGAGAACACTGATTTCCACCCACCCACCTATTTTGTTCACTTAAGTACCTCTCCAGTTTCTGTAAGTACTGCCACCATGATCCTCCTCCTAACATCTCCCCTTGCCATGCTGCCTGACAGCATCAAGTAAGAAAAACACCCCAGGACTGACTACACTGGGACTCAGGAAAGTGCACCCCAGTTCTTAAGAAAGCTCCAACCCTGAACCCTCCACCAACCCCCTTCTTCTCACCTCCAAACAAAACAAACTATCAATCACACAATGTCTTCCACCTCCTCACTTCTGCAGCAAAGGTCCAAAGGAGCATATTAAAGGGTAGATTTGGGGGCTAGGCTGCAGCTTGACCGTAGCGTGTTGGCCTAGCATGAGTAAGGCCCTGGGTTTGATTCTTAGCACTAAACAAAAAGTAAATAACTACATACTTAAAGTGTAGGACTGGTCATAATACTTCAATAGTACTTGCTTTTTTTTCTACCTTAAGTCCAAAGAGAGGATACAGAGTAATGAATGAAAGGAATTTTCTTTGTAAGACCTCACTGGCTGCTAAAGGCCAATGAGAGATTAGACTGAGATTACATTCCTCTACTGAAGAAATGACACCATTTCTCCCCTTCCTATGAACTCAAAATGACACCTACAATAGTGTCTTGCTACATGTCCTGAAGAGTAACAGTATTGTGCTTTGTAATTAGATGCTATCAAAGTATATTTTTTCTCCTGACTGTCATCTGTGTTTTAAACTTAAGAGAACAGAAGAAATATTTTGGTCTTGAATAGAAATATTCAATAACTTGGAAGTCTATAATTTCTAGAGGAATAAAGTATGATTAATAATGGAAATGAGGGGGCTGGGGATTTAGCTCAGCGGCATAAGCTCCTGCCTGCAAGCAGGCAGTCATGAGTTCGAACCCCGGTACCGATAAAAAGGAAAAAGATAAAAAAAAAAAATGAAAATGAGGAAGAAGAAATAATTCTGAGGTACATGCTTTGGATATTCACTAGGCTACACTAAAAGTTTATTTGTATATAACAAAATGAATAAAATCTAATGTAGAATGAAGTACAACTGTATACTTTCTATGAAGAGTTATATTGTCTTTGGATGTATTACATATTTAACTCCTATAACTACTAATTCTACTGTGTGCCACAAATAATACTGGTTTTGATGAATGCTTAACCAAATTTTTACGTTTTTAGACTGAGCTCCTACCTTGATCATCTTTGTATTCTTAGCACTGAGCATGCTACTTCTTTTAGTCAGTGCTATACTAGAATAAAATCTGAATTTTCTTAGAACAAACTAGACAGCCAAAAACAATATTTCCAAGGAATTTCACAAGGGAAAGGATGCGATCTGGCACTTGTCATTTTCCTCATCTATCTGGAATGTGGACAGGAGATTTCTGTCTTAGGAGAGGAGGTCAAGGGATAGCCAGGGCTGGGTTCCAGGCCTTTCTGGTCCTAGGATGAACCTGAACAAATTCTCTTTCAGACAGGAAAGGTAAAGCTAAGTCTGCTCTGTACCATCCAGGTGTACTCTCTTCCACAATGGAAAGCTGTAGGTTTTACTGCCATTATGAGAGGACAGTGACCAAGTGGCTAGTTTTGTTTCTTTTCAGGGTCCCAGTAGACATCTGACATCATGTTGAAGCACTGAGGTCAATTTAGTAACAATCACCAATGTAAATGAGATTCACTGAAGAACATGGGCTCCAGAGCATGTAAAACAAAGGTTCTATGCCCTTGAGCAAAGTAAGCCCTATTTTCTGGATCCATAAAACGAAGATAACATCGTTTACCTGCCAAACTTGATAGAATAAAATTGAGGTGATTTATTAAAGCCCTAGTAACACAGAATACACATACAATTTTCTCGAATCAAAATGAGTGCTCAGTAGGCTTTTGAGAGACAAAATTAGTAAAAGTCTTTTTCTAATACAAACTGAAAATTAGAGGCTATGTGATTGTCATGGTTTGTGTGTAGATGTCCCTCCAAAGCCTCATGCAATCACAGGGCTTTTTCAAAAGTGGCTGAATCTAGAGTGAGTAATGTCGGGCAGCTCAAGGGTGTGTGATTCGTAAATCAGTCCACTGACTGGTTTGGCACGATTCTGGCTAGAATAAAGGGTGTGGGTGCTACACCCTCCCTAGGTCAGGTAGTCTGCATACAACGTAAGAGACAGAAAGTCTGGCCTCCCTTTTGTTGTTGCTACCTTCTGGCTGCCATGAACTGGTCCCCCTTATTACTTCTGCTGTCTTCTACCACCATGATCTGTTGCTCCTGTGCCATGTGCCACTCTGCTTTGGAGCTAGTGGATTACGACTGAAACCTCTACAAACTGTGAGCTAAAGAAACCTTTTTTCCCTTAACTTTGGTCACTGGGTATTTTGTCTCAGCAACGAGACAAAAGAAACTAAGGCAATGAAGTAGCAGCTCTAAACTTACATCTTAGCATACAGTAAAATCTAATTGGCAGAACTAGTCAACATTCAGCCTCTTCTGGAAGTCTCTTCAGACAAAGCTTGGCTGTTATAAGTAAGACTTAAAAAACAACTATTGGGAAATAACGTAAGTCTCCTAGAGTAGCTGAAGCAGGTAACCCAGAGCCCTGAGTTTAGTTCTCTTGAGGGAACTGCAATGTTCAAGCCTTGATCCCAGTTATTT